AAGCAAGAAAGAAGAGGGAGAAAGCAAGAAAGAAGAGGGAGAAAGCAAGAAAGAAGAGGGAGAAAGCAAGAAAGAAGAGGGAGAAAGCAAGAAAGAAGAGGGAGAAAGTAAGAAAGAAGAGGGAGAAAGTAAGAAAGAAGAGGGTAGAAGCAAGAAAGATAAAGCTATTTAGAAGTAGGGTCGGAGAAGCGACAAGGAAAGAGCTTGGGTCGAACCTATTATTATCAATTTCGACTAGGTACTATACTACGTAACTATCGCCTTCACTAGAGTATAAGGTCCCTTTATAATTATACTAGGATACTTGGTCAATAGGTAAGTTTGATCCAGGTTTGATCCGGGTTTAATCCGGGTTTAATCCGGTTATGATCTACTAGTAGGTCTGATTTATATACTAAGGTAGGTACCTAGTAGTATGTATACCTAGGTAGTTAAAGCTATATAGATACTCTCTAGATACTACTATGTACTTAAAGCCGCTTCAATACGGTATAGATACTGTCTTAATACTGATTTAAACTAAAGGGGTTGGGCATGTAAGTATGTAGTAATTGAATGATATTGTATACTAATAGTACTGTGCTGTATGTATATAGCCTATGATAGTACCTATATAACACTACCACCTCTGTTCCTCCCCGCCATCTGGACAAGGAGTATTCGGGCAGGAAGCATCAGATAAAACCAGCTGGATCATCGTCGACCGTCTACAAATCGTGTGGCTGGTGCCCAGGTCCGCGATTTGCTGAAGCAGCGTCTTGACAGGCACATTGAACGAGTAATATGCCAGACCAGGAGTGTAACCGACGGAGACTGCTCCTGACGTCTTGAGCTTATTGGCATGGCGCTCTGCTTTGCAAAAGAAAATGCATGGCTTCACCGAAATGACCGAACCACGGCTTTGGAGACGCCTGATAGCATTGTCGCAGATCCTGACCTTTTTGTGACAGAGGTGATGCGGTACTGTGCTCGTCGTGGTCGTAGTGATGCTGGTCGTTGTTGTGGCCGTAGTTCTGGTTGTGAATGTGGAGGTTATGGTGGTGGAACTGCTAGAAGAGGAGGTACTCGAAGTACGGATAGTGGAACTTGAAGTGGAAGTAGTCGGAGTATGTGAAGTAGAAGAAGTACTCGAAGTATGAATAGTCGAAGTTGAAGTGGAAGTACTCTGAGTATGTGAAGTAGAAGTGCTCTGAGTATGTGAAGTAGAAGTACTCAAAGTACGAATAGTTGAACTTGAAGTGGAAGAAGTACGGATAGTTGGACTCGAAGTAGTATGTGTCGCAGAATTCGATGACGAACTTGAAGATCGTATACCACTAGTGGCTGAACTGGTCGACGTTGATCTGCTCGAGGAAGAAGCACTTGATCTTGATGCGCTTGGAGTGGCCGAGGTGCTTGAAGTACCGGACGATGAGATTCTCGATGTTGAAGAAATCGATACGCTCGAGGCATGAGATGATACAGTATTTGACGATGAAGCACTTGATGTCCTCGAGGATGAAGCGAGAGTTGTTGATATTCTTGACGATGAGATAGTTGACGTCCCGGATGTTGATGCCCTCAAAGACATTGACGTACTCGATGTGCTCAATGAAGACGTCCTAGAGGAGGATGTGCTTGACCTGGATGCACTTGAGGCAGTCGAAGCGCTTGAAATTCTGTTAGTCGAAGCAGATGAGCTCGAAGTACTTGAATGAGAGGAGCTTGACAAAGAAGTAGCAGACGATAGTTTTGAGACGCTTGATGAGAAGACACTCGAAGATGATCTGCTCGATGTTAATGTAGTCGATGCACCTGTAGCTCTTGTAGTGGTCGATGAAGTCGACACCTTAGATGACGAAGATGAAGCACTAACTGCGTTTAAAGAGGATACGCTTGATCTTGACTGACTGGACGCACTCGACAATGATGTGCTCGAAACAGCGCGACTTGACAAGGACGCGGTGGACGACAATGTACCGGTCGTTGCTGCTCTTGATGCGCTGGATGATACACTCGATGATCGGCCAGTAGATGTTGATGAGCTCGACAGGCTTGATAGAGAAGAGCTTGAAATTGCCCTGGACGTCGACACACTCGATGCTCGTGCTGCGCTCGAAGTGCTCGACAAGGTACTCGACAATGACCTGCTCGAGGTCGAAGTACTTGGAGAGAATGATACAGGATCGATATAAGTCGACATGCTCGATACTGTGGACATTGAAGAGTGTAAAGACGGGGTTGAACTCGATACAGTCGACGTCGACGCACTTGACGTTCGTACTACACTCGAAGTACTCGACAAGGCAGTCGATAATGACCTGACCGAGGTCGACGTACTCGATATTGACCTGATCGAGGTCGAAGCACTCGATGCTCGTGTGGCACTAGGAGAACTCGACAAGGCAGTCGACAATGATCTGCTCGATGTGGATGCACTCGATGCTCGAACACTAGAAGTACTCGATAAAGCAGTCGATAATGACCTACTTGAGGTCGAAGCACTCGATGTTCGTGAGGCACTAGAAGTACTTGACAAGGCAGTTGATAATGACCTAATCGAGGTGGACGTACTCGATATCCGGATACTCGAAGTACTCGATAAGGCAGTCGACAGTGACCTACTCGAGGTTGAAGCACTCGATGTTCGAACACTAGAAGTACTCGACAAGGCGGTCGACAAAGACCTGCTCGAGGTTGACGCACTCGACAAGGCAGTGGACAATGATCTGATCGAGGTCGATGTACTCGATGTTCGAACACTAGAAGTACTCGACAAGGCGGTCGATAAAGACCTGCTCGATGTGGACGCACTCGACAAGGCAGTCGATAATGACTTGCTCGATGTGGACGCACTCGACAAGGCGGTCGACAATGACCTGCTTGAGGTTGACGCACTCGAAATTCGGATACTAGAAGTACTCGACAAGGCAGTCGACAACGACCCCCTCGAGGTCGATGCACTGGAAGAGGTCGATGCTGGATTTATCGAAGTTGACGAGCGTGTCACACTTGATAGAGAAGATCTTGAAGATACGCTCGATGTGGACGCACTCGACAAAGCCGTTGATAATGACCTGCTCGAGGTCGACGTGCTCGATGTTCGAACACTAGAAGCACTGGACAAGGCAGTTGATAATGACCTGATCGACGTCGACGTACTCGATATTCGGATACTCGAGGTACTCGACAAGGCAGTCGACAACGACCTGCTCGAGGTTGACGCACTTGACAATGACCTGCTCGAGGTCGATACACTGGAAGAGATCGATGATGGATTTACTGAAGCTGACGAGCGCGTCACACTCGACAGAGAAGATCTTGAAGATACGCTCGACGTCGACGTACTCGATGTTTGTACTGTTTTCGAGGTAGTACTCGACAAGGGTGTGCTCGATGTTGTAGCGCTCGGAGAAAATGATACTGGATCAATATAAGTTGACATGCTCGACCCTGTTGATGATGAGTGCAAAGATGCGCCTGGAGATGTGCTCGTGATCAACGTACTCGACGATGATCTGCTCGAGGCCAACGTACTCGACGACGGTCTGCTCGAGGTCAACATACTCGACGATGATCTGCTCGATGTTGTAGCGCTTGGAGAAAATGACACTGGATCAATATAAGTTGACATGCTCGACGCTGTCGACAGCGATGAGTGCAAGGATGCGCCTGAAGACGTGCTCGAGGTCGATCTGCTCGAGGTCGAAGCACTTGAACTGATCGAGGACTTTGAGTTGGAAGGAATTATTGAAGAGGAAGTCGAGAAAGAACTACTGTGTGTAGTCGTACCAGATCTACTGGCAGCTAAGGAAGTTGAGGTAGCAGTCTGCAAGGTACTCGATGATGATACCCTCGATGTTGACGTACTTGAGGCCTTCGATGTTGATATACTCGAGATCCTCGATGTTGACGTGCTTGAGGCCTTGGATGTTGACGTACTTGAGATCCTGGAAGCGCTCGACAAGGTGCCTGACGTTGATGTACTTGGGGCCTTCGATGTTGACGTACCCGAAATCCTCGAGGTGCTCGATATTAACGTACTCGAGGTAATCGATTTGGATGTGCTCGAGGGGCCTGATGTTGACGAACTTAAGATCCTGGAAGTACTCGACAATGGGGTGCTCGATCTTAAGGTACTCGAGGCAGTTAATGAGACACTCGACCTTGACGTACTCAAGATACTCGACGATGAGGTACTTGATCTTGACGCACTCGAAGCACTCAACCTCGATGTACTCGTACTCGAGGATTTTAACAAAGAGGTGCTCGATGATGAGACACCCGTCGGGCTCGGCTTTGACGTACTTGAGACATTCGACACCGAAGTGCTTGATCTTGACGTACTTGAGACATTCGACACCGAAGTGCTTGATCTTGACGCACTTGAGGTGTTCGACTTTGACGAACTTGAGACATTCGACAATGAAGTGCTTGATCTTGACGCACTTGAGACGTTCGACAATGAAGTGCTTGATCTCGACGCACTTGAAGTGCTCGATCTGAACGTACTCGAAAAGGTAGTTGACGGGGTATTTTGCGAGATTGGGTCCACCTCATGGCTAGACGTAGACACAGTGGAGGTGAAGGTGGACGTAGATGAGGCGGCTTTAGTGGATTGTGAAGACGTGCCACTCGACAATCTCGGTGTTGAAATAGTGGAGACAGTGGTGTGCGATACTGATGTTCCTGAAGAGGATGTGGTAGTATGACTTATAGGGCCAACAGAGTTGCTTGAAGTCGTGCTGCTGGATGAGAGTTTACCCGACGCAGTGGAGCTTGATGTAGGGATCTTTGTTGTGGCCATAATAGATGAAGTGATGCTGCGAGATGTGGTAGTGCTCTGACTCACTGGACTGATGTGGACATTCGAAGTTGTGCTGCTGACAGAGGATGTACTCAACCTAGAGGAAGTAATTGTGGCGGTTGTCGACTTAGATGTGCTGGATACAGCGACTGTTGTAGATGCAGTGGTGCTATGGCTGGTTTGTCTAGTGGACAAAGAGGTACTGGTTGAACGAGAGGATGTAGCCGTAGCCGGTGTAGCCGATGAAGAGCCACTAGGATGTGACAATGACGACGATGACGACGACGACGATGTCCTTTGACTGACAGCTGAATTGGAGACCTTGGACGTTGTCAAACTGCTCGAGGCCGAGGTCGACGTGGTAGCCCGGATTGGCAAGGCTGAGCTGCTAGATGATGATGAGATCCTCTGACTCGTCGGGCTGTTGGATGAACGAAAGGACGAAGTCATAGCTGACGTGCTTCTGGAAGAGCTGCTGGAAGAAGACGAGGAGGTTGTCTGACTAACTGGATCAACTGCAACCATCGATGTCGTGGAGGAGTGGGAGGTCGAGGCGGTAGAGGACCTGGAGGATGAGGGAGTGGGTGTCCTACTCGAGGTCGCGCTGCTGGATGAAGACGAGGAAGTCCTTTGACTGACGGGATTATTTGACATGCTCGATGTCGTCGAAGACCTGAGTGAAGAGGTAGTGGCCTTACTCAAATTCGAGCTACTGGACGAAGATGAGGAAGCCTTTTGACTGATCGATGTGGCAGAGGATCTGGAGGTCGAGGCGCTAGTTGTCCTCCTGGAGTTCGAACTGCTGGAAAAAGATGAAGAAGCCCTTTGGCTGGTCAAACTGATTGATACGACCGATGTTGTGGGGGATCTGGAGGCCAAAGTCGAGGTCGTGGAGGATTTGGTGGAGGTAGTAGCTGTCCTACTCGAGCTTGAGCTGCTGGAAGACGATGAAGTCTTGTGACTGATCGGGTTATCAGAGACAGTTGACGTAGCCGAAGAACTAGACGTAGAATGAGAAACTGCAGTTCTTGAACTACTCGTAGATGTCGTGCTGGTCGCACTTTCAGCCGAAGTGTCAATGGCATTTGAAGAGGACGTTGTGCTGGTTACACCCCCGGCCGGGCTGTTACCAGCTTTTGAGGAAGAGGTTGTGACGGAGGTTGGTGCTGTCGACGTGGTTTCATGGTCGATTGGTGGGAGGGAAGATGATGAAGAAGACGTCAAGGGGTTGCTCGTGCCTCCAGAGGTCGTTGGCCAATCGACCCAATCGTCCCAATCGCGGCGGTCAAGGAGGCTGGGGGCGATTTCCGGGCTTGTTGTCACGACAGTCTTGTAGATGGCGGCAGATCTTTTCAGGCTGTCCTTGTCTTCTTTCCCACCGAAAAAGTCAAACCAGTTTCTTTTACTTGAGACGGCAGTGACAGTCGACAAGGTTTCGATACTTTCGATGACTCTGGAAGGCTGGCTCATCTCGGCATCCGTCGTAACTTGGGGCATAGAGCCATTCCAGGCGTTCAATGGGGAGGGAACGGACGGCGAAGCTGTTGAGCACCCAGTGCTTGCGGTGGTCGGTTCGCCTTCTGGAAGAGTCTGATATTTTGAAGAAACCGTGATAGGTCCGATGCTCAAGTCTGACGCACCTATATAGGTATCTATAGTCGTCAGAACATCAGCGAAGGCCACATCTGTCGCAATCAAGGCCAATGCAGCCTTTATGGCAACTGCCTTGAGGAGTTTCATAGTAGAGAAAAGCCGAGCAGGCCGGGTATAAAGGAGGGACTGGGGTAAGTGCTTATAAGAGGAAAACCAAGAGAGAGGACGGCTCGCGCACAGAAAGGAGTGACTGCAGTGAGCGAGGCCTGAACAGGGCTGGCGAAGATGCCATTGAATGTTGTGCGATATGGACTTGCTTTATAACCGCAGCAGCCAAAATCAGGGGGCCGTAATTCATCAGGGCCTCGAGATTGGGCCTGTCTGGAGTGACCACGCAGAACAAGAGTAAGGGGCATGTAGTATTCGAGAGATACAGGGTATGTACAGCCATGTGAGCACGACATCTGCCGTTTTGATGTCAAGTCACAAAGCGTCGAAGGTACTGAGAACAGAGGGGGCTGGGAAGGATGTTCTGAGTCTTCTACAACGCCATCTAGGCATTGGAGCATGTCTTGCAGAAGTCGTCTGAGCTTGACGTGGTCCTTGACGCGGAGAATCCTATATGGCTTTCGATAGAAGACCAATGCTTTGCTGGAGCGACGACCTTGACCTTGCAGGGGCATTGAGTCGAATGGAATCGCAGGAACGCACGCTGATACCAAGAGGCGAACAACAGCTTCTTCCGAACAGCTGTCACTGGCGATGAGATGGCAGGTAGCCGTGAGGTTGGCAGGCCTTACCTCACAGACGCTTGGTCGTCTCTCTTGGAACCCTCAGTAAAGCATCGTTTTTGCAGCAAGACTTGGTAGTAGAGTCAATCACTCGTTCGCCAATGCCAAACCTTTTGGCGCTCTTTACGTTTTCGAGAAACGTATTCTGGCAAGCACAAAATTGAGATGCCAGAGAGTTAAATCCATGGGTAGCATCAATTATGAGAGTCCGGATAATTAGCAGACACGGGAAGGCAGGCCATGGTTGTGAAGTGTCGTTGAGCCGTAGTCCAGCCCAACGTGGCGCTGGGCCAGACCGACACAGTGTCAGAAATAGGAGCGATACGATGCTGGGACTTCTGTGGGGCGCAAGGACCGGGGTGTTCGACTTTGTCGATACATGGTGTAGTACTCCGTACAGGGGTTCTAGTCGCAACAGGTGTTATTATGCGCGCAGCTCCCAAGCCAAAAGCGGTGAGCCCGCTCAAGCATGAATCGTTTCCTTGGACGAAAGGTTGCCACAAAACCAACCTGTTGAGGCCATCATAAGCCATTTCCCCAGACTCTTCACCATGAAAGTTTGATATGGATATGAAGAGTGGTTGCGGGGATAGCTGTAGCATGCGTAGTCAATTCTTGCTTTCTCCGTACAGAGTGGAGTGGTGATCGGAAGAGCATAAGCTTCTCGGAAATGCCATGGTGGGCCTGACGCAATGGAGGTAGCAGGCTAGGCGAAAGCATGGAGTTGTGTATGCAACTCTTCTTAGTGTATTCTTCTGACAGGTTGAGATCCGGAGGGCAGACGCGTGAAATGTGAGCCGAAGTCGTGTCCCGCTGTCCACTGTCGCTTGACAGTTGATATCTGTGCCGGTATTTCTTAGTCGGCCCCTTTGATCTGTTCTGCGGCTGGAGCCGTGTGTGATCGCCCCCTCCCCGTGCATAACTTGTGGGCTCTCTGACAAAACACTATGGCTAGGAGTCGGCAGTCGCTGGCTGTCTGACGGCTGGAAGCGAGGGAGTCGAGCGTAGTCGTTGGTGTTCGGCCAAATCGACGCTCCACTGGTCGTGCCATTTGAAAGCGACTTCTGAGATGACTCAAACTCGTACAGCTATACATTGGCGATACCTTTCCCATCGCCCTGCAATGATTTGGTAAAAGGACGAAAAGAAGACATGTTGCGCAGATCGGGGGCTTGGGCTAGGCCTGTGCCATCCATTTGTGATAGCGATCTGCACTTACCTCGGCGATCCTAGGATCGAGACCGGGCGAAGACAAGCCACAGAACCCTGGACGCGGTCCTGAGATGCTGTCAGCCGCCCGCGCTCTGCTTGAAGGGGCTGTAGTGGTCCAATAACATCACACCACACACCACCTGTAAGTCAATCTGGTCTTCCTAAATGTCTAATGAGTAGTTCTCAGGTCAGTAACGATGTCTCAGGCGCGAGTCAATTGAGAATACATTGTACGTAGTAGCGCGCTGACGGGAAGGGACAATCAAGATTCTGCGAATCGGAGACGACTGCTGTGCTGACACCTTGACCTTGGAGTTCTTAGGGTTAGGGTTAGGGTTACGAGGCAAGCCACGTGAACTAGTCAAGCCTTGGCCGACCCCGTGACCTCGAGAGCCTCCTGCACCGTGGATTTTCTTTCTCAACCGGCCTGTCGCGTGTGGGTGAGGGTGAGGGTGAGGGTGAGGGTGAGGGTGAGGGTGAGGGTGAGGGTGAGGGTGAGGGTGTGGATGAGAGAACACTCTGGATCGAACCTGGCTCGAACCTTGACCGATACTGTAAAGGCACTCAGTGATCTCTTAGGGGGAGAGTAAGGGGTACGTCGTACTATACAACTATCTCATCTCTCTACGTTTCTCCTCTGCGCGCCGAATTTTTCATGCCACTTTCTCTTCTTCTGGTTCTGGTTCTGATCCTGGTTCTGACCTCTCGTAGCACCGTCCTTGACGACCGCCGCTGGGTGCGCTGGCCGTGGCCCGCTGACAGCCGCCACTGGCCCGCCTAGACTGCCATTACTGTTCACTGGAGCTGGCCACCTTAACACCGAAGGTTCGGTTCCTGAGGCCTTTACTAGCTGCACTCCTCCCCCGATCGAGCGGACAAGAGCTGTCGCGTCGCAGTCCTTCGCCCACGACTCGGGAAGGAGTTCGGTCCACTGCTTCATGAAGTCTTCCAGACCGATCGAAGACGAAGGTTTGTCTTGTAGAGACGAGAGGATCCAGTGGCCCAGGGCCTTGCAGATATCGGTGTCTTTCAGGACCAAGGTTCCGCCGGTAATGTCCAGTGGTCCCAGGTCCAGCTCGGGGGCTGAATCCTTACCATCATGAATCTCGTCGCCGTCGCCGTCGCCGGTCAATGGTTGGCCGAGTTGTCTTAAGATGGCCTTCGTCACCGCAACAGATAGATTGCCGTCTTCTTCCGCCCCCGCGTCCTCTCTCAGGCCTCTAAATATATTGTCGAGTTGTTGGCCATCCAGGCCTTCCCGAGTGTCAAGCTTGACCCCTGAAATCGCGCATTGCTGAACAAACGTTTTCCAGGTACGAAGCAAGAGACGGGAAGTGGGTGTGTAGACGGCGGATATCTGCTTTTGCCCTTGGTGTCTCGGGACTGTGAAAGCGAACAATTCCCGCAGAAGGCTGACAATCAGTTTTGTGGGTGCCGGGATATTGTCCAGCACCTGTCCGAGAGTGATCACTGAACTGCTTGGGTCAGGCCCCCGTTTCGGCATACGCAGTAGTACCTCGTCACCATCGTGGTCCGGGTCGTCGTAAGTCGGTACGATGGCCCGAATGCTATTTTCGATATCTGCGTCGTCGGGTTTGATTTCGAGTAGCTCAAGAATATTTCTGACTTGCGATATGGCTGCTACGCCCTGCCGCGAGCCCGAGTCTGTGCATGTTTCGGGGTGTCCTTGTGCGGGCGACCTTCGTGTTCGGTCTGCGTCCGAGTCTGAGACCATATCGACGTCGCCATCTGTATCCTCTGATGGCTCTTGTCGACTGTTGATGGGGCTGTCTGTGCGTGTAGCTTTCTCCCTGTTCCCAACCTTACTACCTTCATCCCTGCAGTTCCCTTCTTGCCGCTGATCATCCGCAATCTCCTTGCGCGACTCCTGGTTTGAGAATGTGCAGGTCCTGGAGATGTAGATGCTATTACTCGTGCTGACTTGCTTGACAGCCCAGACCTTGTCGTCGGTGCAAAGGTGCAGGTGCCCCTGAATGGGTTCGGAGCTCGTGCCAGGGACCGCCTGTGCGATTGCCGACTTGAACTGTAATCTGCCGGCCAAAGCACAACTATCAGCTTATACGACTCGTTAATTCAATATGACGTCTGATGACGCTCTGCCCGGTGGGAGTAGTGCAGCTGCCTCTCAACATCATAGCAGGCAAAGGGCGTCTTCCCTTGATCAAGGACCACGCGACAATGTAGCATTTAAGCTCACAGTGGCTAGTGACAGTGACAGTAGTAATAGAATCTCGATGATGAACGACACCAATGGTGACCCCGGGTGCCGAGGCAGCCACCACATACAAGTGGGACAGTAGCCAGAGACATAGCAACAGCGACAAATGATTTGAGTAACCCAACAAGGATCAGCTCACTTACCTCGACTTTCTTGCACGGCCCGTGTCCGATTCTCTCTGCTTTTCCACAAGGGCCACCAACTCCGGCGGCAACTCCATCAATCTGAACGACTGCTGTGAAACCGCGACGGAGAACGGGACGGGAGAGAACCCGGAGCTTTGCGACGACAAAGACATACTAGTATTACTGGTTCTAGTATTTTGACGGTTCCAGGAGGTTTCTGGCCTGGGGTGGGAGGGGATGCCGATGGTGTGTATCTCCAGCACTGTTCAAGGCCAGGAAACGCTGTGAGGCGCTACCGCAGTACCTAGTTTGGTCTCAGTGGGAATTGAGAACCGATCAACGTTCGTGAACATGCAGTAGACAGTAGACAGTAGACAGACAACTGTCCTTCTGTCAAGTTGGACTGAACGTTCTTCCTAGCGAAGCAAATGCGTTGCGATTCATTTCAACCAACCGATGAGCGATACGCGCAGGCAGAGGTGGCAGCACGGCACGACGCGTCTTAATTACGGCCGGACGACGCGCGACGTCATGCAGTGCACTAACTTCTGACCCTGGATAATTATACTATGTATGGCATCCCATCAGCTTCTCCGGAATCAAGCGTTGCTTGTCACCATTACCATTATCATTACCACTAGTTGTCCATTGCCATCATCATTAAAAGAAGGACCTTTATATAGGTTGTCGTAAGGTCCTCATACACGTTCATACGTTTGCCAGCGTTCTCCTCTCTTCAGCATCCAGCTAAGGCTGTCAGATTCTCTTTGTGACGCTCGACCAAATCCCATATTCCACGACTATGTCGTGAAGAACCCCCCTCTGCTACATGAACGAAAAGATTCACATTTAGGAAGCAGTCAGTAGGGGGTGAGCAAAGCGGCGAACGGCTTATCACAATGGGACGACGGTGATATTGCCTACGTACAAGAACCTGGTCAACACCACAGATAGGCACTGCCCCTTACTGTACAAGCCAAGAAGATGCTCGAGTAATATGTCAAACCCTTGAGGTACTATGCTATACGACTCCGTCATTTACAAATCCCGTGCGATCGTTAGACCTTGGTGCCACCCTTGCTGTGCATGTATCCGCCTTTCCGCGCATCGGCATCGACTGCCTCGCGGCAACAGCATGTCTAATACTCTCACAAGATGACACATTGCCCATCGACCTTCGACTTCGAATGTGTTCAATGAACCCCCTCCATACTTGCGCCTGGCAGAGAGACTTTTCCGTGTCAAGTGGACACTGTAGCATACAGCTGCATGATGCCGCCACCCCCGATCATGCCATCCACCAAAGCAACGCCGTGTCCGATATGCATCATGCTTCCGAGGATCCCGGATCGCTTGCTGTCTATCTTCGATCCCACGTCCCCCACGTTTTCCCCCCTATATTCAATCATGCCCATGGTCCTTGGCTTCGGCATCCGATGATCCCAATGGGACTTATTCATCATCATCCTCCTGCTCTTGGGCATGTGTTCGTTTGGTGTCACCAGAAGCAAGGCGTCGGCCTTCGCCGCGTCCGGGCGCAGCAGCAGGCTTCTGGTCCTTCACGTCTGCACCCTTTCTGTCTTCAACCTCCTTGCCAGCTGCCTTGCCATCAGTATCCTCTTTGTGGGTGTTGACCTTCCTCACACTTTCCTTCTTTCTCATGTCCTCTTTGACCTCAGCCTTGGGATTTGACTTGTCGACCCCCCCACCAGCAATGGCCTGTTTGTCCGCTTCCCACTGCGAGTCCACTGGTTGGAATTCATCCTGGATCTTCTTGGCCACCAGAGCATTTTCTTTTTCTTGCTTCTCTCTTTCCCGTTTTTCTGCCTCCATCTCCTCCATATGTCTGATATCATCGACAGACGGTTCGTACAGATGCCAGACAGTGTAATGCGGTAGCCCTATAACCGAGAACCCCATGCGTCTCGCCATTTTGCCAAACCCTTCGGTCTCGGCGTGTCGCTCGAACGAAAAGGCAGGGAAGTGGACACCAGCACGGAAGACCCGGGCTTTGGCGAGGATGGACACACCACCGACCCCGTCAAGTTCCATCTCGACGTCCGGATCGCCGTATGGATCTCGAAGATAGGCCAGATGCGGACGCCAGGTGGCATACTCAGCATACCCTTCAACAATGACGGCATCTTCGTCCAGGGTATCAGCCAGCGCAATGGCGGTCTCCGACTCTTGCCATGAGTTCAAATCATAGGGTTGTTCACCACCCAGCCAGTCGGGAAGGGGACGCCAAATGTCTAAAGATCAATAGGTTAGGAGATGTGGCTCAAGACGAAGGGGCAAAACACTCACTCGGCACGGTAATATCCTTATCATGTCGCATTAAATCCTCTATGATGGTGAATGGACACGTTTCCACATCGGCGTCGCGCCAGTAGACCCAACTGTGATAGGGTCTCAATGCGGCACTGAGGAGCCAGTTTCGCGCTTGTGCCATGAGTTTTCTCCGGCCCGCTTGGGCGGCAAACCCATGTCGACTCTCAAAATCTTGACTGACAGCCTGTCCAAAATCTTTGTGTATGACCGAAATCTCCCCGTAGTGTTGTAGTGGGTCGGGATCTGCTTGCTGTGCTTCCAGCATTTGGGAGAGTAGCTCTTCAGTGTTGTCCTTTGAATCGGAGACAAGAAAGGCCAGGTCTATGAGGCGGTGTGGGTAGGTAAAGTTTCGCAGGTGGGCAAAGAACATGGGTAGATGAGGTGCAGCGTCTCGCAAAGGAGTGCAGAGCAAGACCCGCTCCTCTCTGTGCCATCCTACCGACGATCCTTGAGCATCTTCCAGATCGTAATATCGTAAGGTCTCAATGTCGGACTGTTCCAGAGAGGAGGCAGGATTCGATGAGAAAGAACCTCGTAGGATTGAGGGGAAGATGATGTAGATGATGCAGGCGATGGTCCCTAGGGCAATCAAGCCCAGTCGTATTAGCCGAGAGCGAGAGTTGAGTGCTTTTCTTCGTGGTTCAAATCGGCGGCCGAAAGCAGCCTCCGTCTTTTCATCCTCGACAAGATCGTTCATGCCCCAGATGTACTTGTTCTCCAGATCGGCTCGGTCGGAATAGGGACGATAGACCTCGTCATCATGTTTCTTGTTGGCGGCATAGCCGTTGGTGAAGGCGTGGTGCCTATTCATCCCTCCAACTCATTACCACCTCGCCGATGCTCCTCTCACAGGTTATCCGACTCTTGTCCAGCAACAGTCTGACACGGGATGCTTCAATGCATTGATCGATCCAGCGGCTTGGCGGAACGAGGGAGAGGGAGTGTGGCGCAGCTCTGGAAATGAAAAGGTCTCGTAACGTCGCGGAAATGCTGAAGAAGATACTGTGTCGACGATAGAACCTGCAGCGGAGAGGTAAGGAATGGCGCAGGCCAGGTATCGTCTCGGGAGGTGAAACGAAGTCAGGTGGAAAGTGGTGATGCAGTGACGCCTCGTCAAAATAGGACGCACCAATAATACCAAGTCAACCGCAATGAAGACTTGGTCAAAGAAGAGAAGAAGGAGAAGCTGTCAACTTGACTGTCAGAAGCAGATGCCAGAGTCTGTCCTCCACAAATCGTACTGTGAATAGTAGTGGTAGTACAGAGGCCATGTAGGTACATACATATGTAACTTAGCAGCAGCAAGGGGCTGTGGGCTGCGCTACGATTCAGGACAGCACCGGCGCCGCTCTATCTCAAAGCTTAGGAGGCGAAAGTAGCTTGATCCTAAAAATACATTGTTTCACTTTAGAGCGGCATACGCATTATTAGACAGAGGATACTTCTCAACCCCCGACAGTCGAAGGCGGTGGTTGGCAATAAGGCAATCATGTACGCATATGTCGCTTTCGCTTTCCTTTCGCTTTCGCTTTCAATAAGCAGGTTCCTAGAGATAGGTGTTCGCCGTCCGTCGCCGTCGTCGATTGTCCAAACACACAGCGATGTTCCACAGTCCAAAGATGAGACTCACAGTATGCAACATCCCGATCTATTCCAATAAGTAAATTCATCCTCTTCAGGGCATACAGGCCTGACAATCGTCCTGGACAATAAAAGCAAAGGTCACTGCGGAGAGTATGCGTAGTGATACCACGAAGCAGGGATTGAGCATAATCTATACAGTGCATGTACCTCTTTTCGTCTATCTACAAGGTCTGCTCTCTACTATGTGTATCATCTCAGGAAGCAGTACATTATCTGTGTTTCCGTATATTTCCACATTGTCTTCACCAGCCTGGTCTGAGCCCATAATCATGATTTGCATTCTCGGGATTCTCCAGCGGAAACCCCATGATAGTGCGCATGGACCAAGCGTCCTACTCCAGACATCCTCCCCTCCACATCTGCCAATTAAGTTCGCTTACCACGCTGTCTTTCTAGATTGCAAGTTCGAGAGAGTTGATGGACTGTTCGAGACCCCACTACCGTTTCCTCTTCGTATGGAAAGCCATTGAAGGAATTTCTGGTAGCAATCGAATATCGACCATTGGCCAAGTATTGCCTACACCGCGTTGTCTGCACATGTGAAGACACCCCTGACATTGCCGGCTTTGTAATCGAGGATTATACTGTCCACAGACGCCTACATCGCACCAGCCAGTCAGCTTTGATTCCATCACATCTTGTCGCTAGAAGTTGTCTCGGCAAACTCGCATGAGACCATAACGCAGCAGTATGGCGAGGACAAGGACTTACATAGGTGCCCACTCCCAAAAAGTAAACCCCCACGATGATGATAAAAATGTTCATCAAGAAGCCGACCCATCCCCGGATCCCGCGTTTGCGATAGAACCCTGGGCCCAGGTCGGCTTTTCGCATGCGGAGGTATGCCACACCCCAGAAAATCCAGCCGAAAAAGCTATCGAACAGGGAACTCATAAGGGACAGCAGATCGGAGAAAAAGGGGATGACTTCAGCGATGATGAATGCGACGATCCAGGTCACTGCGAGGATTGCCGCCCAGGAGGCCCAGCCGACCACGGTGTGCGAGGTCTTGTGGACTGTACCGTCGAAGATTCGGAAGAAGACGAAGCGAGCGGAGACAGAGGCATACAACACGCCGAGGAAGATCAGCGTTGGAATCATGAAGGAGAAGGACACCTTCTTATATATATCGTTGCCCAGGGAACCAAAGGCCGGCGCGGTGTTGTATTGTGTCCCGGTATAGCCGTACACTGGAGGGTACGAAGCGGTTAGCATGTCCCTTCTTTGCTCTCGGATTTGTAACTCCCCGATTGCAAAGTCAAGGCCGGTGCCAATGTGGCAGGTCAGACTTACCAATACCCCCAACCAAGCTAAACACGATAATCTCACAGATGGTAACTATCCAGATCGCTTTGCGGAAATCGTAGGGGTTCTTCATCTCGGCGATGAAACTCGGCAGGGTAATCTGGCCGATGAAAGTGTAACTGATATTCAAAAAAGCGTTCATCCCGGAAACGAACGTGGTGCCGGCGAGCGGAATAGCCAAGACCAGCGGTTCACCGCCAACTTTCTGACCCGCGGCGTTGATATGGTTGGGGTCGGGGTTGTAGCCGGCAGTGCCGTGCTTGCCTTCGGCACCCGCAAAGGCGGCGGCGAGGATGACACTGACGAAAGTGAAAAAGGCCGAAAAAAGAGCCAACTTCGAGAGAGCGTTGAATGTGCGCGGCATGGAGCAAACCCAGGACACGACAGCGCCAATGGCGGCAAAGCCTACGGTGCAGATGCTGTGACCTGCAAGTCCCAGTCAGCAGGTGCACCACTCCAATCAAGGATCATTGATGGGTCTATGGACATACCGCTCATCGTGTTCAAATACCGGGAAATGACCAAAACATGGAGACCCTGAATGAAAGTGTTGTTCAGGAGAAACATGATGGCGGTGAAATACCATGCCCACTTGGAGTTCCAGAAAAGCATCTGACCAATGTCGCAGACGTCCTTTGTCTCGGGATGGCGCAAACAGAATTCCCTGTCATCGACGATCTCTTAGAATTGATCTCGCGGCGTTCGGGAGTGGAGTGGTCTGCGGCTTACCAGACAACTAGAGAGGTGTAGAGAACAAATGCGGCTTGAACCACAGTCAGGATGAGACCCGGAACGAGACCCAGCACGGAATATGAATAAGGAAACGACATAATGGCCAGGCAAATGTACTCGGAGAAGAGCAAGGCAGCAGTCTGTGGTGGTGGTGCTCGTCAGTGATACGGCCAGCCTCACAAGCGGTCGAGACAACCCACCTTTTGCCAGGAGCAAGTTCTGTACTTGATAGCATCGTCGGCCTCCATCTGGACCAGTTTACTATAGTCATCTACAGCATCCGAGTCACTGGGCAGTGAAGCCAGTCTTGTGGGCGGAGGCCCGATCCTGCTCATCTTGCGCCCTTGGACGCTGGTGACCGAGGAGCGCCTCTGCTGCTCCGGGTCGACATTGTGTTCGGGCTTGAACGTGTCAGATTCCCCAAACGGAGCCTCTTGCTTCTCGCGCACTCCGGCCATGTTTGATCGCACGCGGTTGCTTGTGTTTTTGAAGAGCCTATGCAGTCGATTTGCTCAACGCCACTTGATTGCGCGAATAGCCCGCACGAAACAGGCGTAAAACAACGAGTCTAGATCGAAAAGAGCGACCGTCGGCATGTGATTGTGGGAGTAGAAACACAGGTCCAGAGTACTAGGAATATTGCAGTGTAACTGCTGTCTGGAGATGGGAGGAGGATTCTTCCAAAGCGTCGGGATGAAAGAAGAAGCGGTTCGGAGGTATAAGACCTGCGCTGCGGTGGGAAGGGCTTTTTGAGAGCAGCGAGCTTGGAACTCGCGCCGAAAGAGCTTGAACTTGGGACTGAGGGGCTAGACCAGCAGCAAGGATGTGGAAGTTACATGGGCATAACAAATAGTTCGAGATCGCTGGCGGGAGGGATATCTGGGACCCGGTACTGGCTGAAGGCCAGAGTGGAGAGGCGAGACCATGGTGACGACAAGCGGGATGGGATGGGACCACAGGAAGAGGCTGATGATGATCCCTGACGGAAGCGATAGAAGGGGTAGCGAAGGCGAATGAGGAGGACGGGTTCGGAGCTGGGAGGCTGAGATGATTGTTGATGATGTTCAGTGCGCGGACGCAGACAGGCAGACAGGTGGCATGAGATGGGGCCCTGGGGCCTTCCCAAGCCCTCAGGCCAGGAGCGGGTGGGAGACGAGGTCGGATTGGCGAGATCCGGTAGCGATGGACCAGGCCAAATGTGAAAAATGGCATAGTTCAAGGCCTGAAAGTTGATGCCCATGACGCGGGGGCCAAGTCTGTTGGGCGTTGAGGCAGATGCAGTCCTCCTGCTAGGCTGCTACTAGGTGCCTGCTACCACCAGTGGCACCAGCTACGTATGCCTAGGGAGCTGGCCAAACTCAAGATGCGCAGTGCAAAGTCGTTGTGTGAGAGATGAGAGACGCTACCACCAACTAGTTGAATTTTCAGGCCAGCCACAGGCCACGCCTGATCCCCAGCGTCACATCATGCCGCACGGCCTGTCGGTCTCGCCGTTATGGAGCGAGGCTACTCCGGAGAAGGAAGAAAAAGAAAATTCAGTTGGAGAGGCTGCCGATGGACTGGGTCCATGGTGGCTTCAATCTGGCATTGGCATTATCATCCAAAACACCTGGTAAGCTTCGAGGTTGCAGATGGTGGCAGATCGAGGTCTATGGCGTGATTTCCCCAGAGCATGGCATCAGCAGCAGCATCAGCATTCGAGATTGCGGCGATGGCCCAGCGCAGATACTACAGAGTTACAGGTACGTAAACAATGCAGGCACCACGAAGCCTAAGGCAGGGTACAGTACGTACTACGTAGGGTACCGGTACCTCCCTACCAGTAGCTTATTGCTTACATAGCAGGTACCTAGGTACCTAGGTAGTGTTGCGTTGGGTCGGTACCTTATATATTATACTCTGTACAAGGAAAAAGGCACGTCGCTAACCCCAATCAGTTCGTTCAGTCAAGGAGAACACACTGAATGCTCTGTTTAATATTCCCCGTCGTCCATCTAGATACTAGATACTCTGTATCTCATGGCAAGATGGATGGCGTCGAATCAAACTCACCTCTACCACCACCCCAAGCCCTCCAAGACCTCCAAGATCCTCGACAAGAGCTTGAACCGCTCGCTTAATGTCTTGTACCAAAACACTACTGCCACCTACCGACACCTATAGAGTACTGAGTACAGTCCGGAGGAGGCGTACACACACATCGCACCCAGTCATGGATATCTCTGATAATATGGGCTCTCAACCTCACACATCCTCGTCCTCGTCGTCCTCCAGCATCTTCGCATAGTCTTCTACCGCTGCAAACGTAGGCAGACCCTTCAGCTTTTTGTTCTTCTTCCCCTTACCCGCATCTGCTTCGGTCTCCTTCTTGCTCTTCTTCCTCTTATCCGATGCTTCTACTTCGTCGTCGTCGTCTTCCTCCGACTCAAACCCTGCAAAGTCTCTGCCCTCACTGCCGCCATCTTCCTCAATCTCCATGAGATCTTCCTCGTCTTCATCAAAGATGCCCGCCTCAATGTCCACACCCTCGCCATCAGATTCGTCCATGGCCGAATCTAGTTCAGACAGGTCGACATCATCATCACTCTCCATCTCCCCTTCAAGGTCGGGTGCGCTGTCCATCATGGCCTTCCACACGTCATCCTCATCTGCGGATTCTTCCCCATCGCTTTGATGCTTCTTCTGCGCCTTCACTTTCTTTGTCGCCCCTTTGTCTAGAGTCGAGAAGTACTGATGGAAGAAGACATCCTCAGCGGCTACTTCGTCACTCTTCTTGGACTTGAAGGCGTCGCTGTTCACCGGTAGCTGGCGATGACCACCCAAACTGCCGGCAATGAGGACGTTGTGCGTGTCACCCGCCGCCATCGGCTGCATGATTGAGGACCCTCGTAGACCGGACGATGACAGCTTGGGGTTACGATACACAAATCGGTCCAGGAAGTGGCTGAGCGTATGCAGACTGAGATCTGGTTTCCCGGGGAGTTTGGCATGTCGCAAGACGTGGTCCGCGCTGACAGAAACGGAGGGATGGAAGTGCGCCAGAAATGGAAGCAATTCCCACGCGCAGCTGTTGTCGGCCTTGGCATGCTCAGGCGCCCGCTTGTGTCCATCGTAAACATTGCCTTGGGGCTGGTTCAGGGTCGCCGGTGGAGGAGCAGTGGCATCTTCGTCCACATCCCGAAACACTTCTTCGTCGTCGTCATGGTCCTCCGGCTGATCTATCAGCCCGGTGAGTGGTGGGAAGGTCGACTCAAGATCTCGAATCAGGAAAAAGGCTCCGCAGATGAACGAAGGCTCTTGCAACGACAGGATCTGTAACAATCTCTTCACAAAAGCCTTGACGCGTTTCACGTTCAAATCGGCCTTGAGCGCTCGATGCAGCAGATTGAGATATAGTTGTTGCTTCGAGGCGTGAATCAACCGGGCATCCAACAGCGATTCGTACAGCACCCGGTAAAACCGATCGTTCGAGGCTTTGTGCGGTGTCGACAGTCGCTGGATGAGCAGCAGCGCCTGAATGCTCGTTTTAAAGTTTGGTGAATGTGCAATCTTGAACAGGGTTTCCATATGTTCGCTGAAACTCGTCCCAGTCGAACCAACATAGGGGTATGCCCGATTGACCCCTGTCAGAATGGCCGAGACCAGTTTCTCCCTCAATTCCTCCGTTTGCGCTTGCCCGGAGGTGGCCGCGGGCTTGCTTTGTTTTCCACGACCACGAGGTACTGGTCCATCATCCGTCTGCTCGTCGGACGATGCCGACGTAGATTTAAGCAGCTGTGTAAATAGGGGGAAATAGATACCGATCAGTTTCTCTGCCACTTCCTCCTCCTTTGAGCTCAGTGCTGTCTGATTGAGCGTCACCACCGCGTAGTACTTGCCATGCAAGCTCTGTCCCGGGCGGAAGAGGAAGTCTGTCTCAATTGCCGAAATGACGATCCCTTTCATGGCCGGATGGTTGATCAACAACTGCATTAGCAGGTACGAGGCTTGCGAAGCAATCTTTTTCACCGGATCGCCAAGTTTGTTGACGAGGAGTCGGAGCAAGTTCGACTCCTGCTCCGGTCTTTCCTTGAGCAGCTCATACACGTAGCTTACAGCTCGTGCCTTGGAAAATTCGATTTCGTCGTTACACCAGACTTCGAGGGTTTTGAGAACCTCAAAATATTGCTCTTTCAACCAGCTCTCGAACGCCCACACAATGAGGTGCTTCTGCTCGAGGCCACGCGGCAGTCTGTTCCCCTTTCTCCATGTCTTCACTTCTCCTAAAACATGAGAAAGGGCTGGCTGTGCGTGGAAAGCGTAGAGTCTCCTCGATTCTGGCAGTAGAGACCCTTGTGCGAAGAGATCCTTAAGAGCTCGAAGTACATCCACCGCCTGAGACCGACTGCGTTTGCGCGCCAACGCAATCAGGGTTTCAAGAGCCCGCATATTGTGGAGGGGTGATTCTTGCACGGCCAGTGTCAAGGCCGAGATCTTGTCCGACAGCGTCCCCGATGTAATGACTGTATTGTAGAAGGACTGGGCCGACGACGACTGCTGCGAGTCTTGAAAACGCTGGTTCTCTTCATCCAATAGGGTCTTTGCATAGTCGTAGAGTTCGTCGATTGAGTCTTTCGAGGGAGTATATTTGAGGCCGGTCTGCGTGTCGACCTCTAGGCTAGGGACGTCGAACCACTCCGGTCTGGGTTCGCAGATGAAGTGAGCCTTCTTCCCGCGTTGTGACTTTTCTTTCTGCTGCTTGATGTCTTTACCCTGTGGGGGCACATCGGCTTGCTTAGCGTGGACATCCACTGCAGGGCGTTTGAGATCCTGGTCGTCCACGTTGCTGAAGTCGGACTCATGTTCCTCCTCATCAAGGTCGCCCTGTGCAAGGGCAATCTCTTTCAGGATATTTTTCAGTCCTTTATCCAGTCCTTCCATATCCGCCTGAGAAGATGGCCGAGACTTGGAAGTTTTCAGTGTCTTTTCGTTCGAGAGCCCCTCAAGCTCGGAGTCGGACTCTGCGTCCGCAACGAGTTCCAGGTCCTCGGAGGTGCCACCCAGGGCTTGCACTTCTTTTCGAAACTCGTCGTCTTCGTCACTCTCCCCACCTTCATTATCCTGGATTCTATCCTTCTGAGCAGCATTCTGTTTGTCACGATCCAGGACTTGGCCACTTCGATCGCGCTTCTTTCCTCGCCCTAAGGCGTCCGCATCAGACTTGCCCTTATTTCCACTGCTGACTGAGGTCTTATTCTTGTTATCCCTCTTCTGCTTTTTTGTGGGTTTCTGGTCTAGCGTTTGAAACCGGGCTTGGATTTCGTTACGCAGGTTTTCAATCGAAGGGCTTGCGGTCTTCGAGGACTCGTCGTGAGTTTTGCCTATCACCGTGACCGAGGAGCCTCCCAAGCGAGGCTTAGATTTGGACATTGTGCCCAGATATGCGGTAAATGCTCGCCTCTGAATGAGGACGGCGCGGTTGGCACTGGAGGACGTCTTCCCCCAAAAGAAAATTATAAGATTTCGGACGGGGTTTAATGGTGCCAAGGACAGGTATCTCCGTCAACTCCTCGCTGCCTTAGCCCACGGTAGAGCACATGGTTCAACGTGCAGTTTTCATCCCATCTTGACCTTCATTCAATGCTCGCTCGCTTTTAACTCCCGTCCCTTCTCTTCAATTGCTTCCGGCGGACAGACAGTCAAGTGCGAGTCGAGAACTAAGTTTGGACAGTGTCCGTCTCGGCCGAACCAGGACATATGTGTGTACCGCCCGGTTAGACTCATCAATGAAGCGCCATGTCTTTGGTCGAGTGTCGAGGAGAGTCCCCTTCTCCCTCGTTCAACGACGCTGTGACCTTGTCAGGCTGAAGCATACCGACTCGAGGCAACGAATTACAGACTTCTGGATACCGACGGTGAATGTGCAAAAGCAAGATGCTATTTCCGATGCGACCCAGCTCCTCATCCGAGCGGGCTACCTACGACAAGCGTACGCCGGCATATTTCAGATGCTGCCACTAGGCCTTCGTGTCCAAGACAAATTAGAGCGACTTATAGACAAGCATATGAGATCTATTCAAGCTTCTAAAGTCTCCTTGTCTTCGGTATCCTCCCTGGCGTTGTGGCAACGATCGGGACGTTGGAAACCAGGGGCAGAGTTCTTCACGTTCAAGGATCGAAAAGATACGGAATGGCTCCTAGCACCGACGCACGAAGAAGAAATAACCACTTTACTCGCCGATCTGGTCCAGACTTCTCAGCAACTTCCTGTACGTTTATATCAGATCACTCGAAAGTATCGCGACGAGAAAAGGCCGCGAGGCGGGCTCCTCCGGGGGCGTGAATTTGTCATGAAAGACCTGTACACGTTCGATACAACGCTGAAAGAAGCACACGCAACGTATGACGACATCCGAGGTGCATATCGCAACTTCCTGGACGAGCTCACAGTGAGCTACATTGAAGCGAGAGCCGAGTCCGGCAATATGGGAGGAAATCTCAGTCACGAATACCACTTCCCAAACGCTGCAGGAGAGGATATCGTAATAACCTGCTCAGACTGCAACTATGCCCGCAATGAAGAGTTCGTCTCGCAGAAGGCATACCGTCCTCAGGTCATCGATAATGTCACGGTGTCCAAGTCATCAACCGCCGGCAATTTCGGGCAGTTTATTCAGGAAGACTTCGTCAGCAAGGATGGGCGTAGTCTTGTCCGCGCCATCGCACCGAGACAGGCTGATCAAGACGCAACGGATGCTACCCGGTCCCATGCTCTCAACTCGTACGCCATCAAAGCGGCTCTTGATGGCGTGCTGGAGATCGATTCTGGATTGGAGCATCCTTTGACCTACTTTGAAGGACTGCTAACCACAAGCACACATGGCGACAGCACCAAGGGCTCATCTATCTTCTACCTCCTCGACTCACAAGTGGAGCCTAGATCAATCCATGACCTCGTCGCACATGATATGGATCATTTCGCTTCGAAAGATGTGAAGTTCTATATCATCAGCGCTTCAAAAGATGGCACCAATGGTATCAGTCTGCTAAAGCAGAGACCTGGTGACCCTTGTCCGGAGTGTTCGAACGGCAAGCTTCAATTGCACAAGGCCATTGAGATCGGCCACACCTTCCACCTAGGGACCCGATACAGCTCCAAGCTCGGACTTTGCACGAGAAGCCCAGATGGCAAGACGACAGTCCCGGTCGAAATGGGCTGTCATGGTATTGGAGTGACCAGGCTCATCGCGGCCGTTGCGTCATGTCTTGCGGATGAGCGCGGGCTCAATTGGCCAAGAGTGATTGCGCCGTTCGAAGTTGTCATTCTCGTCGCTAAGCCTGAGCCGAACCGGCTGCAGGCAGCCGAGCAGATCTACGACCAACTGTCCACCTCTGAACTCGGTGTGGCAGATGTCCTCCTCGATGACCGCCAGGAGCAGGGTCTAGGATGGAAGCTGAAGGATGCGGATATGATCGGCTATCCCGTGCTTGTAGTCTTGGGCAAGGGATTCGATCGAGGCATGGCCGAGGTGCAGTGTCGCCGGCTGAATATCAAGCAGGATGTCGAGATTGACCGTGTCGTGGCATTCGTGCATGGACTGCTCAAGCAGCTCTGACGCGAAAATGTGTCTTGAGAAAGTCGACACTGTATATTTAATAGTATGTATTCGAGATATCCTGCTCTGACAGAATGTACAGTACAAAATACCAACACTTCTACCTTGCGTCTAGAAGAGTAGGCCGCAAAGCACAGCTGCAAATACCTTGTGTCTCTGTTCTTAATGGCATCTATGTACGATCGAAACTAGCATAAGCAAGGATATTCCATCGGTACGTCAAGTGGGTGGTAGGTGGGTGGCTTTCTTCCCGAACGCAGCCTCGCGCACAAGGCTGAGCCGATTTTCCACTTTCCCCTAACCGGCTAAGGCTTAGTAAGGCAGCCTTGGACCATCTCCAAAACCAAACATCCCTGTCCCCATCTTCACAGCGATTGACCACAACTGAACCTGCGATCTCTCACCCACCCACGTTTCTGTACATCGCCGAACGCCTGCTTGGATCTCGCGGGCACCATCTCAAATTTCAAGCATAACATTCTCGGCCCGCGACAAGACAACAACAAAACATGTCCCAACCCGCACAAAATGCAGTCGACATTTCGACCCTGTCGGTACAGCAGCTCTCGGCCCTGCAGGCCCGGCTGACGCAGGAACTCGAGCACCTGAGCACATCGTACCAGCGGCTCCGGGCCGCGCAGCTACGCTTCAGAGATTGCATTCGGAGCATCCAGCAAGGAATACAGGGGAAGAGTGGAGGTGAGTCGCCTGCCCGCACAACATACACATACACATACACATGGTCGTGGGAGTTCTTTGCAAAACATATCGAATTGGATGCAAGTGGATCGGCGCTGTCTCCAGTGGAGGAAGCCGAGAAGTCACCCAGATAGTCAAAGCCAAACTTGACCGGCCCAAGCAGACCAGCGAGGAGGAGGAGCAAGAGACAGAGACGGAGAAGCAAGAGACAGAGAAGCAACAGAAAAGAGCCACAAGCTAACGTTGTCAACATCACTACAGAAACACCGCTCCTGATTCCCCTGACGACGTCCCTCTACGTTCCCGGCACGCTCGCGACGCCCGCGGACTCATCCTCGTCGTCGACCGTCCTCGTCGACGTCGGCACAGGCTTCTTCGTGGAAAAGACGCCGGAAGACGGCATCAAGTTCTACACGGGCAAGGTGGACGAGCTGGCGAAAAATCTGCTGGAAATCGAAAAGGCCGTGGGCGGGAAGAATGATAACCTGAGGATTGTTGAAGATGGTAAGTCGCAATCGGAATCGCAATCGCAATCGCAATCGCAATGCAGAGTCCCTGCTGCGTTCCCCTTATTTTGGCATCTTTGTCAGTCAGAGTCCCTGCTGCATTCCCCCCATTTTGATGTCTTTGTCTATCGGACAGGCAAAGTCATGCATGGGCCTTGGGCCATGTGTGTTTGCATGTGTTTACGTGTGTTTGCGTGTGTGTGTGTGTGTGTGTGTGTGTGTGTGTGTGTGTGTGTGTGTGTGTGTGTGTGTGTGTGTGTGTGTGTTGTGTGCTTCAATTGGCTAACATGTCGATTCGACAACCACGCAGTCCTGCGGCAGAAGATGCTTGCGGAACAACAGGCCGGAGGGTCGGCTTCGAAACAGCAACGGGCACAGGCGAGTGTGGGATAAAGATGAAGAAGACATCAATCGGCTCATGTGATCGAGCGTCTGGTTATGGTCATGGTCGAAAAGACATCAATCAACTTGTGTGATCGAGCGTCTGGTTATGGTCATGGTCGAAGAACGTGTGCCGCTACACATACGGACAAGGACTGCCGTTGGCTCGGTTAGGGACTGCGACTATGATGGCTATGACTATGACTACTATGCGTCGCAGTGTACGGCGTCAAGACAGACTTTTGGACATTCTTTTCTCAGTCTACCTACCGCTATTTTGTGGCAGACTAGAACAAAACTTGAAGGCAAGCATGACCCATGGATCAAGGTCCAGGGTCTCGCATGTCGCATGTCCGCATAAAATGTCATGCTTAACTGGACTCTGTCCCAGAGCTTGCTGTAAAGCAAAGATCTTGCTGTCCCCAGTCCTGGATTCTCTGAATGGGAATCGGCATCTCCATTATGTCCGGCAGGAGAAATCTCTTCTCAACCGGCGTTCTCAACTCTCCACCGACCGACTGACCTTCCCCCGTGTCCTTCCCGTGTGCATATGCGTTTCAGGGGGGATTTTTTGGCAGCGACTCTCCTCTAATCGTCCTGACCATGAACGTGAACAGTCGACTCCTTCTAGGCACTCTGAGCCTGGCCATTCACGTTCGCATTTGCATTTGCATTTCCATTCACGTTCGCATTTGCATTTGCATTCATGTCCACGTCTGCCTCCGCGTTCGCAGTTGGTTGATTCGCAGTTGGTTGATTCGCAGTTGGTTGATTCGCAGTTGGTTGATTCGCAGTTGGTTGATTCGCAGTTGGTTGATTCGC